GGTGCCATGAGCATAGTCGTCTTAAGTGCTTGGAATGACCGGCGTGCGTCGTCATCGAATACGAATGGCACCTTTGGCGACTGTAACCTCGTCATAGGTGCAGCAATCCTTGGGTATCCGGTGATGAATCGGTGATAGTAGCCCGCCAATCTCATGAATGAACGAACTTCCGTGGTGTTGGTGGGCTCGGGCCATACTCGTAGGGCCTCGATCTTGTCCACAAGCGGACGGATGCCTTTCGGCGTCACATAATGGCCCAAGTACTCTAGCTCCTGTCGTGCGAATTCGCACTTGTCGCGGTTGGCCTTGTACTTGGCTTGTCGTAGCCGCTCCAAAACGGTGCGCAGGTGTTCCACATGCTCCTCCAAACTCCGCCTGTACACCAGGATGTCGTCGAGGTAGATAAGTACGTATCGATCCAGCATGTGTCGGAACTCCGTTGTCATAGCCGCTTGGAAAGTGGCCGGGGCATTCGTAAGGCCAAATGGCATAACCAGCCATTCGAAATGCCCATATCGCGTCTTAAACGCAATCTTGTATCGATCCTCCTAGCGAATCTCAAGTTGGTGGTACCCTGACTTGAGATCCAACTTAGAGAAGAACTGGACGCCGCCAAATCGCTCGAGAAGGTCATCGATGCGTGGGAGAGGGCCGGCGTTCCTGATCGTCTGCGCATTGAGCTTGCGATAATCGATGCACAGCCGCAGGTCCTTGTTCTTCTTCCGGACGAAGAGAACATGAGCACCGTATGGCGATGAGCTAGGCCGAATCCAGCCTTTCTCCAGAAGGTCGTCCAGTTGTGCCCGAAGCACACTTAACTCTTCCTCGCTCATTCGGTAGATGCAACCGCGTGCTCGAGGATGATCTCGTGGCGGATGGGTCGATCCGGTACTACTTTGTGCGGGCCTTCGAACACTTCGCTGTAGGCGTCGAGAAGTTCGATGATGCGTGGATCCGAAGATGAGTCCGTCGATGAAGCGTCTTGGGGCGGGAGGGCGTGGAGAAAACACACCCCCATCTCCTCGATGTCGTCTCTGATGATGGAAGCTCGCATGCTTGCGGCGGATACCACGTGACAGCTGACTGAAGGGTGAGAAGGAGCTACCGTGCATGGGACTAGTACTCCGTTCCGATCACGAACGTGAACGGTGCGGCGGTAGAAGTTCACCGGGTGATCCTCGCTTCGCAGCCATGATATGCCCAAGATCATGTCAAATTTGGTGTCCAAAATGTCAAAGGACACCGCCTCACTTGCGTGAGGGGCAAAGTACACTGGGACGTCATCAATGCACTGGTCTATGACTTGTGCGTGTGACCGTCCGCCAACGTGACTTGCGTGGGCTGGGACTTCCTTCGGACTCGTGGGCCAAGGCCGGTGCGTGCTATGAAGTCCTGACTCATGTAGTTGCGAGATGCTCCGCAATCGATCAAAGCGCTGCAGGTCGCTTCTCCGATCTGAATGCGTACATATAGCAATGGTGCGTCGATGTCGTCGTACCGTTGCGTCTTGAACTCGCAGTCGATCTTCGCAATGTAGACGTGAAGGTCGACAACCTCTACTCCGGCGTCCATCAACGGAGTCGGTACTGCAGTGTGCAAGTAATCTCGCAGTTGTGCCATGAGCACATTGCAATGCGGTTTCGGCAATCGTCTGGTCAGGGGAACGGGCATCCACAAGAAGTCCGTGAACGTCAGTGGGTCGAGCACCTCAAGTCTTGACCACGACGATGAATCCCCGACAATACTGTGTCTAACGTGGCACTGCTGATGTGGCACTGCTTACGTGGCACTGTGTCTGACGTGGCACTATGTCTGACGTGGCACTGCTGACGTGGCACTGTGTCTGACGTGGCACTGCTGATGTGGCACTGCTTACGTGGCACTGTGTCTGACGTGGCACTGCTTACGTGGCAGTGTCTGACGTGGCACTGCTTACGTGGCACTGTCTGACGTGGCACT